CGGTTATGCAGAGAGCACTAAAAGCAAGACGAGCGGCTCTCGGAATGGAGCAGCATCCTCCTGAGTCAACCGGTCGACCCGGCCCGGAACTCAGCCTCCCCGACGAGTACCTCCGCACCAACATGCCGTAGTTTTATTTTATTTTATTTTCTTTTGTATTATAAATTTATATATTATTTTATGACTTTTTTAATATAATTTTTTTTAAAAAATTTTAATTTTAAAATTTTTTTGTTTTATATTTTTAAATTACAAAATTTATAAATAAAAATATATAAAACTTTTTTAAATTATAAATTATATATAAACAGTCCAAGTAATTTCGTTGTAAACATTACAACGACTTAACATCTAATTACAAGTAAGTTCGTTGTAATATTTACTACGACTTTACATGTTCTACTAGTAATCTACTCGTAAATTTACATCGACTTAACATCGAATCTTTACGTGGTAATTACGTCGAAATGAAACGTGGACTTTACGTCGCTGGTTAACGTCGATCTTACGACGAAATATTCTACTTCGCCTTTACAACGACACCTGTTCCTCGTAACGTTACGTGGTCTTTACGACGAAATGTGCATTACGACGGGCGATTAACAACGAACGCGTTTCCTAGTTAATTCGTTGTAAATGTCCTATTACGACAAATTAACCACGGATATAGCCCTAGTAAAAAAATTGTTTTCTTGTAGTGAATGTGATACAATTGTGATTCATACAGTTACTCTGTTTAATCAAAATGGAATCTGAAAGCAAGTGCATAGTTAATGGAGCAAAAGAACAAGCTGTTGGAATAAGAGAATAACCAATGGAGATAACTGACTGATCACAAAACACACACTTATCGAATCAAACATGATTATCTGTAATTGGCATGTATAGTCGAAACTTGAAAGTAGTGTGGAACTAGTTTGGCACCCGACAATATAACGATATATTTACCAGTCTATAAGAGTTAAGAAACTAGAGTTGGTTAAATAAGGAATCAAACAAATTAATCGTGTCGTATATATTTACTTAACTCAGAGATATATCTGGATAAGAATAAGAAATAATTATTTGAAAAAAAAAAGCTAGCCGCTTAAGGTTCATTACTGAAAGAGAAGACAAGATATGTGTGTAATAATGGGCTCTGATTCGTAAGACCTTGTTTGTATTAAAACTAAATGTATAATTATTATTCTGAACGATGAAGCTGTATTGTAACCTACTTAATATTTGATCTGGAGCTGTTCACTTTTTATTTAATTTTTGTGGGTGACTCAGAGGTCTCAGTATTTTTGTAAAAATTATTCGTGGCTTTGGTTTCTGTTTTACAAAAAAAAAAGAGAGAAATGGTGTTGTGTGGCGCGGTACGTATCGGTTAAAATTCCATGCCGTCACCAAATCTGCGAGTTCGAACGTGTTATGGTTCATACCCGCATGTCATATATTACGTGTGACGTGGCCATATCTCAACCTATTAGGTACATCACCTCTTCAAGTACAGTACCCCAGTTTGGTCCCAAGTTCCAATTATGATAACTGAACAGAAGTCGGCCCAAACGTGTCTGGACTGTGTTCTTTACGTCAATGTAAAGAAACTCCAAATTTATTTAATTTTCCTTAATAAACAGCACTAATATAGTATTATAAACCTCTTTGAGATAATTTCTAAACTCACCTAAACAGAAAGAAATTATATTGTGCACTGCATTGCAATTTACTATGACGTAATTTCTAAAGAGTAGTTAAGACTTAAGAGGAAAACACTTCCATTTTACCATATAGACTAGATTCTGACCTGCCCTCCAAAGGGCAGGGATATTTTTACTTTATAGTTTTTTAAAATTTTATTTTTTATATTTATATATCTTTTTCAATCATGTTCTATTTTTATTTTTTTAGAAACTTCTTTTTCTATTTATATATTTTTTTCAATCATATTTTTATTCATATTTGGGTAAAAGATATATATTTAAAAATGATTAGTAAGGAATTTTCATAATTAACTGAATTTGTAATCTTGTATAACTATATCCAGGTATATTCTTGTTTTAATATGTTTTACTAATTTATGAAATCAAAATTTTATATATATATTTGGTATTAATTAAATTTAATATAATTTTTGTAAACTATATTGATATGTCAAATTACGTATAAATTATACACTTGTGTTATACGCATTTCACAAATTAGTTATAAACTTTATTTGTAAAGCTTACAACGTAATATTGTTTCTTACTTTGAATTTAAAAAACACATTAACCAATCACAAAAGTACTAAGAATCCAAAGTTAGCTATCTAATTTTTTCCTTAATTATCTCTAACATCACGGATATAGTGATCATATAAGATTGACATCAAAGCCCAAGACCCAACTTAATATCCGACCAAATATATTGTCTTATCCCTTTCGTGTCTCTTTTAAAAAAATTCCCAGCGTGAAGAACACTGCTTCTCTCTCCCTTTCAAACTCATGGATCTGTAAAATTCTTTTTAGATCCGTTCCAGTACCTGTAACAAAAACCTGCAAATTAGGAATTATTATTTACGTGAAAAGGAATCCAATAATTTAAATATGAATTTGAGTTGAGAATATTTGATTTGATTTCTGGAATATCTGGTATCACAAAGTAAAACATGTATTTGAGTGGACATGTAGGAAATCTGCTAACTGCTCTAATTAAACGTGGCTAGATTTAGTGTATAATTAAATACAGTTATGAAATAATATTCTGTTTTAAAAAAGTAGATCCAATGGCATAGAAAAGTAATATTCCAAGGAGTTGCAGGGGTAAATAATAAGGATGATCATGTTTCAATAAATTAGACTAGATGTTGACCCGCGCCCTGCGCGGAGTGAGATTATTTTGACTTTGATCGAACAATAATTTGGTATATTAATTTGTTTAACTAAAAATAGGTAGTGGATGTGAATAAGTAATAAAAATCATATAGTCATATAATGAGATATTAGTATAGCTGCGAAACGAAGCATTTAATCATAGAAATTTGTTTTCACTGTTTGTCTTATATATCTGTTTGTCTTATAGATACATGATGATACAAAAAAATTAAGAAATCGTCTACTAAAAAAAGTAGTAAATAAATTAAAATAATTAATATGATAATAAAACATAGAGAAACAAAACATAATATAATGAGAAAAAAGTATATTAAAATAAAATAATAGATAGAAAATTAAACATGATATAATAATAGAAAATCCCAAAACTCAGTGAACATGCACCACCTCTTGTGCCAGACAATCGAATTGCCCCACCAGTTCTCTTTTCACGGTTCCAGCTATCATGTCTCCCTAGTAGCAAGAATATTAAATTAAATAAGTAAACTTCATACGTCAAAAAGAGAAATAGAATAAAACTCGATCATTTCAAATTTAACTTACTCTAGCATCGAGGAAGACCATTTTGATAGTCTCCCCAGCAGCTGCAGAATACTCTTTCCAAAGGCGGACAATTTTCACTTGCACCTTCCATTGGTTCTTGAAAGGCTTCAACTCAGATATAAGGTTTATGGCGGCCATAGAAGATGTGTACATTTATTCTTGCTTGTGTGAATATCGAATGGACCTTTAGAATACGAGTTATATATGTTTAAATAGCATTTACATTTGCGATTTGCGCTTGTCTATCAAGGAAATTCCAATTTATGGCTATCTCATTTAATTCAGAATATTATATATAGCTGATTGACATTAAAATGGAAAGAAACCATTAAATCGTTTACCTAATAAAAACATTCCGAGATTTAGTTGCTAAAATTACGTGACTGAAATATATTCATTCAATATTAAAAATATGTATGCAGATTCGGTCATTAATTTTAGTTGACATTCGACGATGTATGAAATATATTCATTCAATATTCGAATACAATAACATCAATGGTTAGTACATATAAGGGAAACTGAAATACACATGCAGATTCGATCATTAATTTTAATTGAAGTTGAAGATAATAGTATTTTGTACTAATACTACAAATGCATATAAAATATAAAATATAAAGTTCGATTTTATAAAATATAAAATATTAAATTTTCTGATGAGACTCTCTTATATTGTCGAAATATAAAATATAAAGTTCGATTTTATAAAATATAAAATATTTAATATTTTAAAATTTAAATATATGCCCAATAGACAATAAGGAATTATGAAATAAGGTCGCATTTTTTTAATATTTTTATTTATACTTATGTAAGGAAATATATTTTGGATTTGAATAAATCGTACAATAACATGTACTAAAATCATTCTATATGCATGTTTTACATTTATAATATTTACATGGAGAATGATATACATAAAATACATAAAATATATCGTACATGTAACAAAATCATTATAGCCGAGTAGATAAACATGTAGTCCGCCTTCTATATGCATGTCTTTATTGTTATATCATATATGTTTATATCAATGGCATGTTGTATAATTACTCTAGTTAACAAAAGTCTTTTAGCTAAAAGGTGTGACAAGGCTTGTGGAGTTGCCACGTAGGAAATGACATGCATATAATAAACACATGAAGTAAAGGTTTATTTACAAAAGTTCTCCTCAAATAATAAGAAGGGGATAGCCTCAAATAATAAGAAGGGGATAGGAGGAAACTTCATGTCAATATCAACCGAAAAAAAAAACTGCTTTTTTAATGAGTAACAGTTTATGTTTCTTACAGATTTTATTATTTACGTTTTCTAAAGAGATATGTATATATATTAAAAAACCTTAACCCTAAAACCTATATATATGTTTAGCCGCCGGCACGATTAAAATGGAAACCACCTACATTTTATCATATCGATATAGAAGCTTTGATGTCAATAACACAATAAAACACAAAACAAACATGTTTTCAATGTGTAACAATTAATAAAAAGACATTGCATAAAAACCATACTTCAGCGTACAATGAGCGACTTAACGAAGCTCACAAAATGACATTTACATAAACATCAAACAAATCCTACAGCTCTCGGGGGATTTCAGCAAAACCTTTCCCTTTGCATCGGTCTGGTTCTGACCCGAGAGATGGCACCTAGACACAAAACCAGTTTCAGTTATTGCAAAGGCTTTTTACTACAACCAATACCCCTAATAGTTAAAATTTTACCGAGACAATGGCTTTTATCGCGGATGGTTTCCGCTTGATCTTGGACGACCAAACCTCCGTCTTCTTCTTGGAACATGATTGGAACCATCACCTGTTTCGTTCTGTAAACGCAACCCTTGATCATTATCATCATTGTCTTCATCCTGTAGACCCAATAAGTTCTCTCCCCATAGATATCGCCTATCTGAAGAAGAACGACGATGAGTGCTCCTCCACGCTCTTGACCTGTGAGATCTTGATCCACCACCATTACCACTGCCATTACCACCACCACTAGACCCTCCGTTATTCTCAAGAGACCCAATCATCTGAAACAATACGAAAGTGGTCCAAATGTCGCTGCTGCTGCCGCCTCCTCCATTTCCTGCTTCCCTCTCACCAGGGAACCTATCTCCGTTTTCTATAACGTAGTCTCCTACAACCACAGCACCGGGCATGGCAGAGCGTATTGCACTGACTATATCTCCATACTCTCTCTGGTTCTCGAGGCGTCTCCAAGCTCTCTCTCTCGTTGGATCAGTGTCTGAAGGGCGAGATGTTGGGTGTATCCTTCTTGCGTGTCGGCGCAGATCCTGGTAGTTACCCGTAAATGAGCAAGACTCTCGTGAGCAGCTTCGGTTCTTCATGTCGAGGTAGCTTCTCACTTCTTCTACAACCTTAAATCCTAAAACAGTACCACGGCAAAGAGGACACTTCAAATTCGTGGTTTCCTCTGCTTGGGACTCAGAATCCATAACAGGGACTCCAGGCACACGGTGGTGAAAGGTGCTTTGAGGTTCGTTTATGTTTGCCCTTGGCTGGGGATTGGGATCAGTTGGGGGTTCGGAGTGAAGTTTCTTGAACCTGTCGAGGCAATTGGAGTGACGGTAACTGGTGTCACAGATGTAAGACCTGCAACCTTTGTCGTGAGAGGAGCAGAGCAGTAGAACAGCATTATGTGGATGATCCATGCAAACAGGACATGAGACCTCATCGAGTAATTTGTGAAGAGCATGAGGATCTGAATCGGGACTTAATTTTCGCTTTACACCAGCCATCTTGCACTAAAACTGTGTAAAGCAGCTACTCACGCATCAAGTTAGAAAAACTGATCAAGCTTTTTTTACAAAAAAGTATTGTGTTTGTCAATTAAAAGTAGAATTTTACAAGTAAAAAAGATAAAAACAAAGCAAGATTCAATAACAAAGTGAAAAACATAAGAAACCTATATATTCTACTGAATCATGGTGTTGAAATTAGCATTGCCCAATAAATGAACTTGGACAAAGAGAGATAATTAGCTGAAAATAAAGCTTACCGAAAGAGATCAATCTTTATTAGCAGCGGGTTGAAAATCTACTTTGTTACTAATTGAGGGCTGAACTTTTTAACTTGAAGATCACTTTTTCTGAACAAAACCAAATACAGCATATAAAATAAGTAAAGCACTATGCTGTTTGTTAAGCAGCAGGGTAACCCAAGTGTCCTAAAACCTGCATCCCAGAAAAAAGAGAAGCAGCCATCAAATATCACAATAGCATATGATTGTTCATTAACACACAAGGTAGGTCCACATATTCACAGAAACCACTGTCAAGTTAGTAGCATCATCATCAAAAATATAAACGATAGAATCCTAAAACCATGACAACTAGTTTCCTCCTTGAGGGATTAGAGATTAATAAGAAAACAGAAATTAAAAAAAAAAGAACATCTTTCCACAGCAATTAAACATTATAGAGGTTGGCCTGAATCAAAAAACCAACAGAAAGCACTTAAATCATAAGTTTAAATCATTAGAAATCAGATTCCTAAACATGAATAAAATATCCAAAACTCTCCATCAAATTCACAAACATTCGACCACATACCTAAACCCATGTTTCAACAAGAGTTAGCACTCAATTCCAAGTTTAAAACAATTGGAATCTAGTCTAATCCACAAACTTTCAACGATGCAAACAATATACTCACAATCCATCTTTTAACAAACAAAAGTAATCAATGGATCTATCAAGAATTAGATCCCGATCAATACGAAATTACGTTAAAATAGAATTAAATCAAATCAAATCGGGTGAGGAATTTACAAATCGGTGGTTTTTCGTCTGCAAAGGATTCGATTCTGAAGGTAATCTCTCTCGATCCTCTCTCTCTATATGAGAAGATTGGAAGATGCTGAGATTTAGGAGGAAATCGGGTTCGGCGTAACAATGAAAGGACAATCGATGATTTCACTCTTTATTTACGGTTATTTTTACCACACCAAACAAACAAACATCGCACTTTGCACCCTTTTTTATTTTCTACAATTTTTCCCCACATTATTTGAAAAAATTAATTAATTAAAAACTAACGAAAAACTGGACATTTAAATACCAAACTCATGAACTTTGGTCAAAAACATAGATACTCTTCATTAACCTCAATCACTTAACTTATATTGACCTAACCATGTTGGGTTTGATTCAGTGTTTTCATGTCCGACCCTGACTCACGATCCGACCACTAAACCAAGTGACCCAATAACTAATTTAGTTTTGGTTTTAAGAAATATCCACTAATTAAAAATCCAATAAAACCCACAAAAAATACTTGAACCCGGTGATTTGGCTATCGGTTAAACCATCGTATGAACCAATGAGTTATTTTTATTTAGATTTTGTTAGGTTTTTAACTATTTTATTAAATATTTTTCTGTATCCAAAATAAGAAGTTAGATTTTTACTTTCTAATATTTAGTTCTCTCATAAAATTATTGTTTTCGTGCTATCACATATATTCTATATCTCTTTCAATTTTTTTTTAAAACTTTTGTTGATTTCGTACGTAAATAACATTTGATTTTAATTTATAGGTTCTAAATTTTATCATATAAACATTCATTTTTATTCTAATCATATGCTTTTATTTTATTTTATTGATTTTACATACTTATAAATAAATAATGTTTTTGTTAATCAAATTTATTGATCTTATTTAATTTTAAAAAATCATATATAATATTGACTAAACCATTTATTGATTTTGATAAACATGCATTATGCCTTTTAAAGTAAATATAGTGAATAATGATAAATATCTAAAACTTATGAGATTTAAGTCTTGTTATTATTTACTATGTCTCAACTTCTAATTTCTTATAAAAATTGTTAAATAGTCTAATCTAATTTTAAATATTTTATATGTGAAATAAAAAAAAAGAAAGAGAGCAAATTTAAATATTTCTATGTTTATAAGAAATATGATTTTCCTATATTTTTAATAGTTAATATATAATTTTTTATTAAAATTAGTTAACGTTTTGACCCGTGATTTACCTGTGGTTGATCCAGTAATCCGGTGATACCGCAAAGTATCCGGTTCAGTGTTCGGATCAGATTTATTATAATCAACATAACTTGTCATATATTTGTTATTTAATGTTCACAGTTAAAAAAGTGTCATTTTTAACAGTTTTCACATATATTAAAAATTGCGTGCAACGTATTAATGTTATTAGTAATTATAACTATTCAACTAATACTTTTGAGATAAATAATATTATTTATACGATAACGCAATTTTAATTAATATTGAACTCAAAGTTGCATTAGAATTCAACAATAACATTTGTACAACAATTTTTTTTTTTAAATGACACTCTTTCAATAACAGAAGAAGTATACAACTTCATTTTGAAATTAACACAACCGATAAATCATAAACTAATCATCGTATCTGAACCATTAAAATTCTCGCACCTTTTTCCATATATATACCTTTTTCCAGTCTAAAGCATACCGTATATAGTTTAGACTAGCATTTCAGCTTGGTGACAACATCCAATCAAGATCAATGTTTTGTATTTAACTTTGGGGATATTTCTGATAGATCTATGGAGAAACTCAAACTAATTTTCAAAAGGGTGATGCGTGCAACCCACGGATGAACCCTCACTCTGGATATTTAAATGGACCGTAAGATAAATCTATATCCGCATAACCACAAGTTAAAATGTAGTGAGATCTATATCCGCAAAACCACAAGGTAAAATGTAGTGAGATGCATTCAAACTCGATTTTTTTTAGCAAATCACAAAACTCACCTAACACCATTTTGTGGTTTGCTCTTTCTAACAATATCCCATTCTAACAACTCACTATAACTCTCTCAATGTATTTGAGCACACTATAATCGTTATAGTGAATCTTATTTATAATAATAATACATTATCAAATCTTCTCAAAGTGTCAACGTCATCATTTATTTTATGGGTTCTGCACATATAATTTTTAAAAGGCTATAGTTTTTCTAAAATGACTATGAACAATAAATATACTTTATCCGAGTGGTATAAGGCATCTAATTCAGTCTGCAAGTGTCTGGGTTCAAACCACGCAGCTGTTATATATTTTAATTTTTTTCTCGTTTGGGTTATTATCATATGAAATTTTTGGTTTTAATGTTTTTATGTTTTTTTTTGCCCTGAGCTTATTGTTTAAAGCATAAAATAGTGAGAAAAATTCTAAAGTTGAATGAACTCAAACCCAAAAAAAAATTAAAAATGGATCAAAAAATGAACAATCCAAAAAACAGAAAACAAAACGAGTCCCACACGGCACTATCATGTCCTAATATATATTTCTATTAGAATATATATTTCCAAATATATATTTTCAAAAAATTATGTATGCGAAATAAAATAAAAAATAACAAAATTTATGTATTTTTCGTTATTTATAAAATGAATATGTAATTTCTCTTACATTTTTAATAGTTACTATAATTTCATTTTTATCGGACTCCGGCGAATGGATTTCCATAGTCGATGACACCGTAAATAAAAATGTCACATTATTCATGAACAAAATTGAAACTTACAAAAAAACCATATACAAACCTATCTAATGAAATCCAAAAAACAAATATTAGCTTAAATTAAAGTTATTTTCAAATTGATAAATCGTTTAGTACAAATATAAATACTATAAATAAATAATTATATCAAGTTTTGACCTCCGATATATTTACAGCATAAAAAATTAAAAAAACAAGATAGACACCTATTTTTACACACTAGAAACTATATTATAGTTTAATTGTTCCTATAAACCTTACTTCCATATAAATAACATTTAACACATTATATATATACAATATTTACTTTACACTCTTGCTACGTTCTTTACATTTCATCATTATTTGGTATTATTAGAAGAACCCACTAAACCAACAACCGAGAAAAACACAAGCAAACATCAATAATCATGACTCCGCGCTTGCGCGGGGGTATGCAACTAGTACTATGAATTAGTGTATTTATTTGTCAAATTAGAGTTGGGTTGAATGAGAATTTGATGTCAAAAAAATGATATGCAAAGCTTATAAACTTTAAATTTGGCTAGTATAAAATATTTTACAAATGGATTATTTTGAATATTTGGATTAGAATTAGAATTTAAACTTGTTAATTGGACATCATGTCCGTTAATTTATAGTTATTCATAATAAATTATATGTTTACTAAAATATAAAATTTATAAACCCAAGCAAAAGTGTATTACAGTTGTCAAAAAAAGTCTATTAAAGTTTGTTGACTTGGTCTAAACCACAATGTTACTTTGCGAAGCTAACGCACGGGAATGATGGAAATCAACTCCATTATTACAATTGATCGGTACGTTAGTTGACCCCTTTTATTCAAGAGTGAATTGGGTAGAAATCCTTAACAAAATGAGAAATTAAGGATTTGTCTTTTTTTTTTTATGGGGAAAATAGTAATATGTAGGGAGGAGAGATAAAGGAAGAAATAGGGTATGAAGTGAATTATGATATAAATCTTATGTGTAGAGTGCAAATACTCTTTATTCAATAGGGTATTAAGGTGTACCAATTCTTTTATGTTAAAAGAAAGAGAGCACTTGTGTAATTATAAGTACTAGCTTCTTTCTCCGCTCTACGTGACGATTATATATTTTAAATTAGTGTAATTATATAATGTTTGAATTAGTTTTTTTTCTATTTAATGTTTTTTTTCTTTTTCTTGTCTTATTTTCCCAACATTAACTTAATAAATTATTTTTTCGTAATTGTTTTTGGATGTTACTTTTGTAAACTTTGGTAAATTTTCTTCAATAGTTTGTTTTTATAGTGTTACATAATTTAGAACTGGTAAACAGGAAAATATCTACAACAATAAAGTAGATTATGATAGTTGGATTTTATTTTTATCGTTGGGTTTATCAATTTAATTTTAGTCTTTTATACTCGTGTGATTTTTATAAAGCTTCAGAATGGTTTGATTTGTATTATTTTGTTCTTCTTAAGCTGCAAATAACATCAATAAAGGTGTTATAGTAAATTTTGTTTCAAATACTGAAACAAGTAATAATTTCACATATTTCATGGTAAACTGCTTATTAAATTTAATCATATTTTCATATGTAAATTATTGCATTAAATTAGGGAGATTTGTGTTTACTTGTCCAGTTTAACTTAATATTTAATGGTTTTATGCTTAGTTTATTAATATAAAATGGGAAATTTAATTTGTAATTTTTTTCTACTTTTACATGAAATTTTGTTTATCGTAATTTTTTTTGTTATGAGAGACGGAAAATAATAATACTCTTCACTACAAACTGAGCAACATGTTTTAGGCTATTTGTATTATATTTTATAAATTTAATAATATTACTCGTGTATATGACTTTCAGCGTAGTTTAAAATCATTAAAATCCATCATCAGTATATGCTTCGGAACAAAAATTGTTCGATAATGCTATTCAAAGTAGTATTATAGGTTTAAGAATTGTTTTGAAGTAGATTGTTGAACAACAGTTTTAGAACTAAGACCATTTTAATTTGTTTCATGGTGTAATATTGAGTTTAATAATAAATTTAGAGAATACGAAAAAAGAAAGGAAATATAGGACGCCGTAAATTAAACATTGCACATTGCTTTTGGTCAATTCCGGAAAGAAAAATTTATTTGTTATGATATTTTGCAAAGTTTAAAACGTACATTTATATGTACATTAATTTGAAAACCTTATTTTTATTTAAGAAATTGACGTAACTGAGATACTAATGCAACATAAAAGAAATGAAAAGAACAAAAAAAAGGAAAAAAAAACATTAATAATTTATGAAACTATATTGTTTCTCTCTGAATCTAATGTCAAATCCCAACGATGGAGATAAACACGACTTGTGCAGTGACACAACTTATGTTTTTATTCCTTATTTCTTGTATTTGTTGTTTTTTTCAAGTCCAAGGTGTAATGGGATCCATGAGACACTGCAAAC